TAGCCAACATGGAATTGTAAAGAACAAATCATGTCAAACCAATCTGACAGCTTTCTTTGATAGATAACGAGCCTTGTGGATAAAGGATGTGGATGTGGTATACCTAGACTTTAGTAAGGCGTTTGATACGGTCTCGCATGATATTCTTATCAATAAACTAGGCAAATACAACTTAGATGCGGCTACTATAAGGTGGGTGCATAACTGGCTGGATAACATACTCAGAGAGTAGTTATTAATGGCTCCCAATCTTGCTGGAAAGGTATAACAAGTGGGGTTCCGCAGGGGTCTGTTTTGAGACCGGCTCTGTTCAATATCTTTATCAACGACTTAGATATTGGCATAGAAAGTACACTTATTAAGTTTGCAGATGATACCAAACTGGGAGGGATTGCAACTGCTTTGGAGGATAGGGTCATAATTCGAAGTGATCTGGACAAATTGGAGAAATGATCTGAGGTAAACAGGATGAAGTTTAACAAAGACAAATGCAAAGTGCTCCACTTAGGAAGGAACAATCAGTTTCACACGTACAGAATGGGAAGAGACTGTCTGGGAAGGAGTACGGCAGAAAGGGATCTAGGGGTTATAGTGGACCACAAGCTAAATATGAGTCAACAGTGTGATGCTGTTGCAAAAAAAGCAAACATGATTCTGGGATGCATTACCAGGTGTCTTGTGAGCAAGACACAAGAAGTCATTCTTCTGCTCTTCTCTGCGCTGGTTAGGCCTCAACTGGAGTATTGTGTCCAGTTCTGGGCACCTCATTTCAAGAAAGATGTGGAGAAATTGGAGGAGGTCCAGAGAAGAGCAACAAAAATGATTAAAGGTCTTGAGAACATGACCGATGAAGGAAGGCTGAAAGAATTGGGTTTGTTTAGTTTGGAAAAGAGAAGACTGAGAGGGACATGATAGCAGTTTTCAGGTATCTAAAAGGGTGTCATAAGGAGGAAGGAGAAAACTTGTTCACCTTAGCCTCTAAGGATAGAACAAGAAGCAATGGGCTTAAACTGCAGCAAGGAAGGTTTAAGTTGGACATTAGGAAAAAGTTCCTAACTGACTAAACACTGGACTAAATTGCCTAGGGAGGTTGTGGAATCTCCATCTCTGGAGATATTTAAGAGTAGGTTAGATAAATGTCTGTTAGGGATGGTCTAGACAGTATTTGGTCCTTCCGTGAGGGCAGGGGACTGGACTCGATGACCTCTCGAGGTCCCTTCCAGTCCTAGAATCTATGAATCAATCATTTTGTTGAAGAACAACATAGAGCAGAATCTGCAGCTTCCATAATCTTAGCTGTGTCGCTCTGCAGGGCTAAAAGGAATAAAAACAGTAAAAATTCTGTTTTGTAATTAAATTCAACAGGTGTGACTATGAATATACATAGGGAACAGATCCACTGAGTTTTGACATAGTCACGCCTCAAAGTAGAACTGTGCTTCAAGGAGACAGTGTCTGTTCCTAATGGCTGCCAATATGTTGGTAATTGTCTCTCTGTGGCTTGTGTGCATTGTAAAATGTAACTCCCATAGACTAGAAGTAAACTTTAGCTCTGCTTGTTCCAATTTCCTGTTTACTCGGTTGCCATTTGATGAAGAACATTGTCTCTGGTTCTGAAGCAGAAGGTTTTTTTTCTCTTGCACAGATGTTCCCATTGAACAGGTTATTTCTTGTTGTGGGAAGTCATCAGCATTGATCCAGAAAACAAAACACAAAAAAAATCATTGAGGTTTTTTAATTGCTTCTCCTACTGTCTTCTGGCAGCCAGTGGGCTCCAGAGCTTGCATCTGTGGCATAACAGAATGTATTCAAGCTTGGTGCATGTCTGGTAAAGACAGAAAAGTGCATCACCTTAATATGTTTCCGATCGATGCTTCACAAGGGCAAAGGATGTTTTGTTCTAGTGACAGAGAAAAATCAATGCAAGCCAAATAGAAAAGGACAAAATTGGTAGGAGGGTGGGAGTGAATGCTTTAAAATTTCTAAAGATGTGAGAAGAAATAGTCGGGGGAAGGGAAGAAATAAAAGAAAATATTTTTTCTTTGTTATTTTTTCTAACAGTTCAGTTAACTGTTCTCTGTTGTCTCCAGCGTATTGGTGGTGGTGGGGGAAGCTTTCTTCCACCTACAAAGCAGCATCACAGGAAGTCTTTGAGGCTACTAAACCTCTTCTCTCGATCTGTGCATCTGTGGCCTCAAATTTCAAGATCTATGCTCTGGTTCTTTCTCTCTACTTGATATCAGACCTTTCTGCCTATTTGTAACAGCTGGGCGAAAGCATTCTCTCCACTGACATTCTAGCATTTGAGAGATCACTAGGCAATGTTTGAGCAAGGCCTAATACAGTTCAGTTTGGGGTTTTTATTAAGGAGCAGCCTGGCTCTAATGTAAAACCTTTGGAAAACTTTAGACCAAACATTTCTGATAGTCTCCCTCAGTGGCTGGAGTTCTGCCCCAGAATAGGAGTTGAACAGACTGTAGTTATGTGAAGTGTGATGGTTGCATGATGGAAGGTAAGAAGAGAAAGCAGAAAATTGTACAAGCACTTTGATATGAAAATCAGTTTGTCACTTTCTTGACAAGGCAGAAGTCACCATTTATTCTCTTAGAATTGAGTGCAGGCTGGGGAATGCTTGGTGCATGGAAGTCTTCTGAGATAAGAGATACCCACTTGGGTAGTGGCTGATGTTCACTAGTTAGCCATGAAATAGGTTCAAAGTGTCAGCAGCAGCCCTAAAAGCTTCCCCCACCCCTCTGCTACTCTGCCAGTGTGCTTCTACCCTGACCTGTAGTGATTCCCCTTTAGGGGTGAGATCAGTTCAGTCTGAATGTCCTTGTGAACTTCAGCCTCTCTTCTGAACCTGGCATACATTCTGCAACCAGTGTTTCATTTGTTATAGATCATTGACTATCAGATTATGACAACTTTCAATCACTATTTACCTAAGCTGTATTTGAATCAGTGACCTAGAAGATAAAGACTTCATGGGGCATGTCTACATTGCAATAAATAACCCGTGGTACCAACTCTTAAAGCCTGGATCCACTCACTCAGGTGCGAGGGGCTCACACTTTGGGGCTAAAAATAGTAGTGTAGAAGTCTGGGCTCAGGCTAGAGCCCAGGCTCTGAAACCCAGAGAGAAGGGGGTGTCCGAGCACATTTACACTACTATTTACTATACTAGTTACTACACCTAACTCCATAGTGCAAGCTCAAGTCAGTTGACCCAGGTTCTGAGACTCATAGCTATGGGGTTTTTTTTTTCTTTGCAGCATAGGTGTGTCCATAGTATGATGTTGTATCCCATGAATTATGGTGTTAAAACAAATGGATGTGGAAAAGAGCTATCAAGTCATTGAGTCGGTCTCCCAGCCACTACAGGATGGTTCTCTGTGGTACATACTAACAGTGTTTTGTCCAGTCTGGTTCTAAATATTCTAAGTGGTTGTGGCCCCCTCAATTTGCTCTGAAGGTATATCTATATTGGCAATAAAAGACCTGCAGCATGGCCATAGGTGACCTGGGCTTGTGGGGCTCAGGCTGCGGGGTTATATAATTGCAGGGTAGTCATTAGGGATTGGGCTGAAGCCCCAGCTCTTGGACCCAGTGAGAGGGGTGGGTCTTGGAGCTCAAGCTCCAATCCAAGCTGGAAGATCTACACTGCTATTTTTAGTCCCGCAGCCCGAGCCCCACAGATCCAAGTCAGCTGACCCAGGCTCTGCGACTCGATGCTGCAGGTTTGTTATTGCAGTGCACACATTGTGACGTTGCACTCCATATGTTCATGGAAATATGCTTATGAGTGTAAATATAATGTAACTGGAATATACTTTATGCAAAAGGCCTCTTGTAAGGTATTGTTACAAAGCTTATAATCTACTGAGTGCGTTTATCCTATTTGTATGAATGTATCATTCCTGAAACTAGGAATATAAAATATAACTCTCGGGTCCTATTGTAATTATGCAAAGTGTGGGCTATTAATGGTGGTTTAGAATTTTGATGGCTCCCATTGACTAGGACAATTGGTTGTAGATGGTTTATTTACCTGCAAGCCTTCTTGTGGATGTGGGGGCTATCCTGTGGGTAATGAAGAATGAGGTCTTATAGTGACATGTGACCATGTCACCTGATCCTGGAATCTTAAACCTGGTGCTTTTCCATTTAGAAGAGAGGGGAGAGGAAACCCAGAGAGACAAAAGATTCCCGCCTTGGGCCAAAGCTATAAAAGGGGGTGGAGCAGAACAAGGAGGGTTGCCAGTTATGAAAATCCCCTAGTTATCACCTGAGCTGGAACTAACAAGGATTGTACAATCCCACTTTTCATACTTAATAAAACACTTTTGTTTGTTAATTAACCCAGGGTAAGTGATTAATATCTGGGGGAGCAAACAGCTGTGCATATCTCTCTATCAGTATTATAGAGGGCAGACAATTTATGATTTTACCCTGTATAAGCTTTATACAGAGTAAAACGGATTATTTGGGGTTTGGATCCCATTGGGAGCTGCGTGTCTGAATGCTGGAGATAGGAAACCTGCTGAGCTGTTTTAGTTAAAGTCTGCAGCTTCGGGGTTGTGGTTCAGACCCTGGGTCTGTGTTGTAGGAGACTTGTGTATCTGGCTCAACAAGGCAGGGTTCTGGAGTCCCAAGTTGGCAGGGAAGACTGGCTCAGAGGTAGTTTCAGCACATCAGGTGACAGTCCCAAAAGGGTCTCTGTGACCAAACCCATCACAGACGTACCCTGAGAGACCTCTCTCCCAGACTCATTCTCCTTGTCAGGGAGTATTTCCTGTCATCCACCTTAAAATTTCCCTGAATTAGTTTCATCATCTTACTCCTTGTTTTACCATCTTGTACCCCTCTAAAGAATTTTTCTCCTCAGTGTTTGCACCCTTCTGCATTACAGCTTTCCAGGTTTCTCCCTTTGAATAACTGAGTCATTTAGTTCTCCATTACTATCCAGTTCTAATAAGGTGCTTGGATACTCTGGAGCTGAGCGCATTGCAAATGTATAGACAATGTTTTTCTCAAAAGATGCATTTTTATGACTCTTTATTTCATACTTGGGGTGTGTCTCAGTCTGTGGGACTCAGGCTTGCGGACTTAGTGTTTCCAACCCCCTGTTTGAGCATTCACACGGCATTGTAAACCTGGGTCTACCATTGCTGGATCCAGGGCTCTCAGCTGTGCCAGTGCATCCATACTGCATGATGCAGACCTTCCATCTTGGTTTTGTGGCTTGACCTGCATCCACACTGCAAAATGACAGGGCTTGGACCTGAGTCTCAGTGGGACCCGCCCGTTTAGCAGCTTCCTAGGACCTGGGTCCTGTCTGCTTGCTCACCTGAGTCAGACTGATTTCTGTGTGGTTGGAAGCAGGGTTTGAACTCAAACCTGAGTCAGAGCATGGGTTTAGTGTACACTGTAGACGTACCCTCGTAGTCTTGGCCTATTACAAATGTGGGTAAAAAGGGGTGTTGAGCGTCAAGTAATTTTATCACAAAAATTGCTAAAAATCATATAGTTTAGAGAGACAGGGAAATGGTAGGTCCAATCTTAATGGCAGTTCAGGGATGTGAGTTCCATTATTTCAGTTGCATGGGGTTCTTGCCATGCCTTAGGGGGAAGTATGATTTAAAGACTAGCAAAATAATTCTTCAGCTGGCTAAATTGTTTTTGTCTTTGTGTTGGGGAAACTCTCAGAACATCTTTAAGTTAGAGCTTTAACTTTTTGTTTTATTCAGTCAGTTTTCTGAGATATCCCTTTAGTTCCATCAAGGTTTAATAGAAGTTGAAATTTTATCTCAAATGAGTCCAGACACTCCTATTTTGCATATAAAAGTGTTTAAACTCTTAGAAGTCATTTTAAACTTGAATGATTCTTAAATAAAGTCTTTCAACTTACATGGTTATGCAGCGAGATTGTGTCTCATTTCTTACCAATCTATAGAGAGGTTTTTCTTGCCTTCCTAAGTTTGGTAAGGAGTTGGTTAACCATTGCTAGGTAACTAATTAATTTTCCAATTAATATGAATGATTTTATACTCAGATGGCTTCTTATATTAGTAATCTGTTATAGCAAGGTCATTTGATTCCATTTTTTACATAATACATCCACTATTCACATAATAGTGGTATTGAGGCAGTTATTACATTTGCAAATACACATCTCAAAGCATTTAAGGGACAACAGAGGTTTTCACCTTCAAGAGGAAACATAGAGTTAGACATAACTAACATCGTCCATAAAACACTATCCAACCATAAACGTTCTTCTTATCATTTGAAGACTTTAGAGCAATTGTAAAAGAAATCAGTTTCAATAAGGATAATTCTAGAGTTATTTGGGTTTTTCCCTTTGCAAAGAGGAGGGATAAAGAGGGCCTCTTTTATTACTTAGGATGCATTATCAGAGCTAGAAACTAAATATCACCCCCCTTTGGAATATCTTGAATACACAACTAGATCTCTTTCTAAAACACAAGTATTTTAAGAAGTTTTATTTTCTTGAGATAAAAATCATGTCTATACCAAGCGAGTGTCCTGTTCTTTAAAGAGACACTCTTGTTGTTTGTTTGTCTTTTGACCGAATGGTTCCTACATTTACAGTTTGTAATTAACTTCTATCAAATAGTCTATACAAGGGACAGATCACAATAACTAACACTTTTATACTATTTTGAAAGATGTATGTAAAAGAATAAATAGACTGTTAAAGCAAAACAGAAGTTGTAAAGCTGCATTCCAGAGCATGTATAAACACACTTGGAGGTAATATATTTGGTTTTATGGCTAAGGAGGTGTCCTCCTCTTTGACACTTTTGGTGCCTGTTACTGGTTGATGGAAAGCAGAGATTTCCTATGGATTCCCTTAGTATTTGATTTCATTAATTAGCAACTAAAAACTTAAGCCCGTGAGCTATCATATTCTTCAAGTATTGAGTGTGGAAATAATTGTATGTCCTAAAACTGAGTAAAGGCAAGATTATACTAATCTAACAGTATAAAAGAGAATAATAATAATTTTATTAATAACCATTTTGCATCAATATTGAGGTATATCCCTTACACAAGGTAGTACTGGAGAATCCTACCATATACTCTTTGTATGGCGATGACAGTTTTACAAATGCGTGGTTATAATGTACCTGGTTTTCTTGTTTTCCTCTTCCCGTTGTATCTACTACTTCTGAACACTGTGCAGAAAACCAATGGAAAAAGTTAGTAAAGAAAGGCATATTACTATAGGAAGTTTTAATGAGAATTCTAACACAGTAAAGAGATTTTTCTACCCATTTACTTTGAAAATCTGATTGTTAATCGCTTTGACATGTCAAAATGTAGTTTAAAATTGAAAAAGCCAGTGGGCCACACAAACACATGAGCCTGCCTGTTTGATTTATAAATGATCCAAGCAAGAGACTCGGGGACTTCATGATTATTTTACTTTCTTGCCCTGGTCCTATCCGTGCCAAACTAATTCCATCATGGTATTTGCTGCTACCTTAGCTGTGTTACTACAGGCCGCTAATAACCTTTAAATGGTCCATTAGTTACAGCGATGGCTTTGGCTCACTAATAATGAACCTTGCCAAAGACTTTATCAGGCTAGACTGAGAGCCATGGTTTGTGCTATGTCTTTCTTTACTGATGACTGAAAGTACAGCAAAATAAATCAAATCCAATCACCGGGTAGAATTAAAGCATTTTAACAATAGGCAAAGCTTATCTGTCTTCTGCTTCTTGTCCTTTCCTCAGCCCCAGTAGATACAACATCAGAGGTATTTTCTCTTAGGCAATATCTTTATCTTTTGGTATCCTCCTCTTAAAAGACTCATTCAGCTGATCATGATAATTGACCATTTATATGCTAGCAGTGCAGGAAATGTGTTATTTCTGACTAGCGTGATGTATGATAGTGAGTAGAGGGAGATTGTGAATCTAGTTATTGGAATAGAATGCTGTAATATTTCTCTTTCTGTCTTTGCAGTGGTCGGTATTGGAAAAGGAACTAAAATGCTGGGCAATATTTTGGCAGGTTCCAAGGTATGGCACACTAAGTTATTGGTCTTAATATTTTTTCAGTGTCGAGGTGAATCGTGATACAGGCAACTAAAACATCCAACATTAAGCAAGGACTCAGAATGGCTTCATTCCTGCAAGGACCCAAAGTGTTGCTATTACAAGAATAAACTGTCTGTCGGAAACCCTTGTCTCTCTGATGTTGTCCCAGAGAGCTTACTGATGATCAGGGTCGTTTGGTAGGAAGGTTTTTTTCAATGTTCAATTCCTTGTAGATTTTAAATATGAGATGTAGAAACACAATAATGAATGATGTCCTGTAAAGATTGTAACTTTTGTTTTTAAATCAAAACTTTAAAATCCCATCCTCCCTATCCTTTCCTTCAAGTAGATATAAAAGAGTAATACTATGATTCTTCCATCACAAGCTGTTATGAAATTACATCTGTTCTTCACATCTTCTTTTTAAAAAATTCCATGCAGTCTTAAAAGACGAAACCCTTAGATTAAAAAAAAAAATCTTTATTATTAGTATTGCTAAAATGGCTAGATGCAAGTGGGGATGAGGGCTCCATTGTGCATAGGCCCAGCCCCAAAACATTTGACACAAAATGTAACAAGCAAGTTTGACCAAAATTAAGAAGGGACAATAAAGGTGACAAAAGTAATCTATGTAATCACACAAACTTATATATGTGGTTCCTGATGTTTCCAAATCATCTTAGATTTTAAACAAACAAACAGCAGTTTCCCATGGATGTATAACCAGATCATTAGTTGGTTGACTTCCTTGTAGGTATCACAGCAAAAGTTGGTCAAGAGGAAAGAATTGGAGGAGGAGCGGGTACTGGTGTTCTGGGTTAATTCCATTGGGGAGTTCCATGCATCGAAGGCACCATGACATATAGTGCATAGATGGTTCTAAGAGTGGCTGTCAAACAGACCTGCAAGGCTAATAAACAACCTTCTATTAATGTTTTCTTATTCAAAACACACTGTGCACTTGGGACATTATGTGCTCCTAGACTTTTTTGGACTCTTTGATCAGGGGAACATGCACACATTTAGATTATAAACCCTTCAGAGCACAGATGGTCTCTCTCTTTTCTGGGTTTGTACAGCATTCAGCATGGTGGGACTCCAGTCCTGAATGGGGATTTTGGGAGCCATCATAATATATGTAGTAATAGAGTTAGTAAACTTAACCAACAGCGTGTACAATCACACAAAAGAGAAAATCATCATGTATTACCAGCTTAAGGACTGATCCTGCAAACATTTATCTACCTAAGTAGCATTAGTCCTGTGAGGAATTCCTTTTTCGTCAATTGGGCTACTCACATGAATAAATTCTGTGCATAAGTATTTGCAGGATTGAGACATTAGTATGCAAAGCACAAGTGACAACAAGTGGATTTGGAGAGCTCTCATTCTGCATAGTTAACAGATGGGAGCTTGACTCACCTCTGCTTGTACTTTCTGGCGAGTCGCATCAAAACCTTGGCTTGTGTGTTTACATTTCCGGGCCGTAGATGTTGGGTAAGTGGATACATGGACCTACTCCAGTTAATCCAGCAGGGTTGGTTCCAGCCCTCAGTGTTGAGGTTTTGCACACTATCTTGAAAGCTGAAAATGTAAAGTCCTGTTGTTTTAGAGAATACTTTTAAAATGGGAAAATGGGCAAGAGATGAAGAAATCAATTCAGCAGTCAAGTGCTCTCCAGATTTTGTTACTTTAGGAAAGTCAATAATGACTTAAAAATAATTGACTTTTTCAAGTCAATTGACAGCTCCTCTAATGCATTTCATGCTGACTATTTTTCTTCCTTTTTTTTCACCTCTGATCCATGACCAGTAAACTATTTATAGATGCTGTGGTGATGATGATTTGAACTAGAGGCTGACTGATATCCACCCCAGGTTTAAGAAGAAATAAAAGAAAAGCAGTTGTGGCAATAGGGCTGATAATATGGAACATGGGTATGAAGGCAGGATGGCATATGGAAATGAGTGTATAGAAATGGAAATGACCACATCTGAGGTGGGAGGAAAATGTGAAGATCTTAATGTGGTCAAATCAGGGGGGACCAGATAATTTCCATCCCAGAATACTGAAAGAACTGGCACATGAGATTGGTAGCCTAGGAGCAAGGATTTTTAATAAATATATCTATTTGGGGCTAGTGCCATATGACTGGAGTATAGCTAACATTGTAACTATATTTAAGAAAGGGGAAAAAGTGATCTTGGCAATTGAAGACCTGTCAGTCTGCCCTCAGTAGTGTGTCTTAGAAAAGTGGTTCTCAAACTGTGGGTCGTGACCCGATTTTAATGGGGTTACCAGGGCCAGCATTAGACTTGCTGGGACCCAGGGCTGAAGCTGAAGCACTAGCTCCAGCCCCACCTGGTGCAGTAGGGGTCAGGCTGTGGCCCCCTCTCCACCACACCTGGGGCGGTGGGGCTTGGGCTGTGGTTCCCTCTCCCCTCCCCAGAGTGGTGGGGCTCAGGCTCCGCCCCCCTCCCAGGGTCATGTAGTAACTTAGTTGTCAGAAGGGGGTCACGGTGCAATGACGTTTGAGAACCTCTGCCTTAGAACAAATTGTGAAGGAAAGGATAATTAAGTTCATGGAGACAAACAGTAAAGGGGATATAATTCAACATGGTTTTCCAAAGGTAGATCATGCCAGACTAACCTGATTTTTCTTTGGAAATTAATTAATTTTTTTCACTAAGAGGAATTCAATAGATCTAACATACATGAACTTAATAAAGCATTTGGTACAGTACTACAGGGGAAATTATTATGTAAATTAGAGAATATGGGATTAGTACAAGCACTGTAAAGTGGATAAAGAATTGGCTAAAGGGGAGAAGGCAATGGGTTTTGTTGGAAGGTTAACTATTGGACTGAAAGGAGGTTACTAGTGGAGTTCCTTAAGTATTGGTTCTAGAATCAATCTTATTCACTATTTTTATTAATGACCTTGTCACAAAAAGTAGGTGTGTGCTAATGATCTGGATGACCTTGAAGATTGGAGTGACAGAAATAAATTAATGGAGATATCCTATCTCCTAGAACTGGAAGGGACCTTGAAAGGTCATCGAGTCCAGCCCCCTGCCTTCACTAGCAGGACCAAGTACTCATTTTGCCCCAGATCCCTAAATGGCCCCCTCAAGGATTGAACTCACAACCCTGAGTTTAGCAGGCCAATGCTCAAACCACTGAGCTATCCATCCCACAATGGGATGAAATACAATAGTACCAAGTGCAAGGTCTAAGGGTCTAACCATAAGAATTTCTGCCGCAAGCTGGCGACTCATCAGTTGGACATGACTGGGGAAGAGCAAGACCCGAGTGCAGGGGTTGATCACAAGATGACCGAGGCACCAATGTGATGTGGCTGTGAAAAAGGCAAACATGATCCTAGGCTATATCAAGTGAGGCATTTCCAGTAGAGAGAGAGAAGTATTAATGCCATTGCAGAAGGTAGTGGTAAGACCACATCTAGAATACTGTGCACAATTCCGGTCTCCTGTGTTCAAGAAAGATGAATACAAAGTGGAACAGGTGTAGAGAAGAACTACAAGGATGATGAGGGGAGTGGAGGACCTATCTTATGAGAAGATACAGGAAGAGCTTGGCTTGTTTAGCCTAGCAGAAAGAAGGCAGGGAGAGGATATGATTGCTTTCTATACATACATCGGGGGGGATAAAAACCAAAGAGGGGGAAGAGCTATTTAAGATAAAGGACAATGTTGCCACAAGAACAAACTGGCCAGGCTGGAAATTGAAAGAAGGTTTCTCATTGTCAGAGGAGTGAGGTTCTGGAACGGCCTCCCAATAACAGTTGTGCGGGCAAAGAACCTCTCTCTCTTTAGAGCTGGGCAAATTTATGAGTGTGATTATGTGGTGGGGTTGCTTGTGCTAGTAGGGAACAGCAGCTCTGGGGTTTACTTCCAGTTTGTCATATGTTCCTAAAAGCTCACGCTTCCGGGCTTCACCTGGCCACCAGGAGAGGGTCAGGAATGGATTCCGTTACTCCTTCTCCCCAGTGTATTCTGGAATTTTTTTAAGTCTTCTTCCTCTGATGCATCATAGAAGGCCACAGCCGGAGATGAGATATTGGAAAGGATGGGCCAGGGCTTGGAGGCAGTACCAAGCATTCTCTCCCGCAGATGCTTGGCTTGCTGGTTCTTACTCACAAGCTCAGGCGTTTTCCCTCAGGTCAGATTGGCAGTGACCTTGGGGGCTTTCGCCTTCCACTGCAGTGTCTGAGTGCGAATCACTTGCAAGGATCATCCAATTATATCTCTCAATCATTTCCCTGACCTTGCAGGGGCCTTGGCGTTGGTACATCTCACGCCCTCTTATTCTCTCACTGTGGCACGTAACCATCTAGTCTCCTGTGGTTTTTACTAATTTGGCCTAGTTTTGGTTGTTGGGTTTAGTGTGAAGGTGCTGGGTTGTGTTAGTGGCTTCTGATATACAGGAAGTCGGACTAGGTCAGGTGTGGGCAAACTTTTTAGCGTGAGGGCCACATCTGGGTATGGAAAGTGTATGGCTGGTCATGAATGCTCACGAAATTGGGGGTTGAAGGGTGGGAGGGCTCTGGCTGCGGATGCGGGCTCTGGGGTGGGGCTGGCAATGAGGGGTTGTGGTGCAGGAGGGGGATCAGGGCTAGGGCAGGGGGTTGGGCCATGGGAGGGGTTCAGGGGGGCAGGCTCCGTGCAGTACTTACCTCAAGCAGCTCCCAGAAACAGCGGCATGTCCCTCCTCCGGCTCCTATGTGGAGGCGTGGCCAGGCAGCTCTGTATGCTACCCTGTCCGCAGGCGCCGCCCCTGCAGCTCCCATTGTTTGCGGTTCCCAGTCAATGGGAGCTGCGGGGGCAGCGCTTGGGGTGGGGGCAGCATCTTGAGTCCTGGCTGCCCCTACGCATAGGAGCCAGAGGAGGGACATGCCGCTGCTTCCGGGAGCCATGCGGAGTGGGGCAAGACCGTGACCCTGCTCCCTGGCTGGAGCACCA